TGGAGGCGCCGTGTACATTGATGCTGTGCGACAGCATACGGCGGAATTAATCCGTGCTAATTTTCTCATTCCAGTCAGTCCTCAGCGACCACAGATAGAATATGCCGACCGTCTAATTCTCCCCGGCAGCAACGTGACAGCCCGAGCAGGTGAGATCGCTACGCTCACTTGCAGAGCGCGGTATGGGAATCCTTCGCCTCTAATTAAATGGTTCGTAATTGTTGCACGTAGATTCTGTACTACTTAACTTGCGCGCTGCCGGCCTTCTTGCCTGGCGTGCGCGATCTTTCGCTTCGCGTGTTCTCGCTCGCTCTTCATCTCGTTCTCATCCCTTCATCTTCGTCATCGCGCACCTTGCTATCCCGGTTATCCATTGCGAGCGTAATCATCCGGCAATTTCTCGAGTCTGGGGATTAAGTGGGATACATCGGTAATAAGAAGAAAAGATGGATGTACAATAATAATAGCTCAATCGCTTTTCAATTCTATCCAATATTTACGAATATCTAAGAATTATGGTGTAGAGAACATTTCTAATCTAATAAAACAAGAAGTCGTAACTTAATAGAAATATACGACTTAATAGAAGTTGTAACTCTAATAGAAAAATTTGCCAAGTCGTAATTTTCAAGTTGCAATTATAATGTCATTTTATCGTTTAGTTAATTTAAAATAATTTCTCTTTCTTCTTCTAATAGTAATTTTTGAAAAACCGAATACTCTTCGATGATTGAACGGGTTTATCTTAGGTAATCAGAATATACATTACTATCGATTTCAAGGCGCTTCCTACTATCGGCGCTCCCCTTCTTCGATCGGAACGCTTGCGCTTGTTCCCGCTGCTCGAAGATTCCACGTAATGCATCGAGGACGCTGTCGATAGCAGAACACGCGCCCCATGAATAATCATGATCCATTCTGCATCGTGCTCGGGCGAAGTTAAGGAGCTACACGATGCATTTCGTGCGGCGGGAAAATGCCGGACGCGAGGTCCTCTCACGCAAGAAAGGTGGGGGAGCAAGCGGACGGGAGCGAGCAAAATTTTCCGTCGGGCTTCCCTTGGATTTCTCAACATTGCGCGGCCTCGTCGCTGTTTTGCGCGGAAAGAGCTCGCGGGAACAGGGTTTAATAGTTTTATGGCGGAGCAAAAACAAGCGCCGCAGGAGAATGGAGAAGCGCAATCTCTCCTACGGCTTTAAACTTTGCAATTTTCGGTTAGCAGGACGATGTCCGTGGGGCGTCGGGACGCGCTTCAAATTGTAGACGAGGTCCCTTGACAAGGCGACCACCGTTCCTCCGCTGCCAGAGCCCTCAGCCGCTCCCGCTTACCCACTTACTCACTGGGAATTATCCTAATTGACACACGCGGCGCAATGCAGAATATGTGTATGCATAAACGTGTTAATTATGACTGAGCGGGGAGACCGAGAGAGATCAGTGCACAATCGGCGACGAGTATCGAGCTTCCGTCCCAGAAAGGCAATCGTCGACGAACGAGAGAAGGCTGTTATAGTAATTGTTACGTCGTTATTGTTATCGTTGTTGTCACATTCTTGCGAGCGTATCGTCGTTATCTAATCCTTTGTTATTACGCTCGAAACATCTTGTCTCTTATCGTGCAAATATTTTTCTCCCGTTATTTTATTTGTTGAGGATATTTTAACAATATACAGCAATTTTTTTTCTTTTATTTGGAGAATACGGATTTATTCAAGAATGAAAGATAGACCGGATGTGTAACGTTTTGCATTCATCCTTATTCATATCATAACAGTCTGCAACAATTGATATTGAAGAGCGGTTTAATTCACGGGAGCACCGCCATTCATTGGAGTCCACGAAACTCCAAGATTTCCGAGGAGCAAAACTCGGAATAATCCGCGACGATGAGCCTCGATGGGAAGATTGGGAAGCAAGAAGGGAGGAGGGCGAGAGGGCCAGGCAGAGAACGGGAAGCGTACGTTAGATAAAGCGAGTCGCGCGCCGATCCGAAGATGGCACGGAGGGGAGAATGTTGAAGGGGAGCGAGTAAGAGTTGTTGCAGAACGGCCATTGGAAATGCAAATTTTCCGGGTACGATATGCAGGTACGTGGGCGAGACCGAGCTGAGAACGCTGCGGCCCCAGGTAAACTCGACCGAGATAGATAATCCGCGCACTTGGGCGACCTACAGTGTTTGCGAGATTCTGGCCGACCGATCACGTTACGGCCAACCGATCAGATGCGTCGCTATTCATCCGGCGTACGCGAATCCCACCATGTCGTCCAGCACCGAAGTGAGATTCGACGTGCGATGTGAGTAGACACAATTTTCTCGCTTATTATAGATCGAAAGAAAAAGATTCGATGATCAAAAAATTAGAAAAAAAAAAGTGATAAAGCACAAGAGATGAGCATAGATGAAATATGAAAATAATAAAAATCTAAATAAGCATAAAAAAATTTGTATGTATTGTAGAAGTTTTTCGATCTTTTATTTTTAATTGGCCGAAAAGAAAGTAGTTTCTGAGATTGTTATTAATCGATATTGTATTAGCTTAATAATAAATTGACAAGTTTTCTTCTTAGCGATTAATATATTTGTTAATTATTTTTATTTTTCAAATTGAAAAAGTGATATCAAAGTAAAAATTGAACCATTTCTCTTTTTAGTGCTTACGAATTTCTTAAGATTTGTCTGTGTAAGAATTGTTTTTATATTATTCTGTATTTATTTCATACTAATTTTTATCAGTTTTTTTCTACAACTAATTAGATTGCTATCTCACTTAGAAAGCGGTTTTAATGTACAAACAGTGTAACAGAAATGTCTCAATGGCGTTTTTTTAAACAAAAGTTTATTATTAAGTTCCGTGAAAGAACAAAGAGTAGTCTATTAGAGCTTATGCGTACATAGTTCTTTTCATCGTCCAGTCTGGTACTTTTCCATACAAAGTGCTTTATGATGCATTTATACTACATTGTTTAATTACTTGTTTAAAATATAATTTTTTACTCGCCGGCATGTGAGAGTTAATCCATTTATGGTGATGTACGGCTTTTTTTGCATTTCTTGTCTATTTATTGATAATTAATTCCGTTATGTCTCATTATTAATAGAGGAAAATTAATTAATTCTTCTTTACAATTGATAATTATAAATTATTCTTTGAAATCTTGTCTGAAACTAATATTTTATCATGACTGAATCGAACGTTTAAATATATAAATGCTCAAATACCATGTTGAATGCATGAAATTCACTGATTACACGCATTAATAATTGTCTCGTTATTATAAATGATATAAATGAACGATATATGCCAAAATGCGTATGTTACAATGCTCAGCAATATGTAAAGTAGGTAGATTCTTTAACGAGCTGTCGGTTAGTGAATTCGTCTTTCTTCCCAGCGGAAAGTAGGACTCCGTTAGAATGGCTTAAATCCCGTCGCCCAAAGTTTGCGCTTGAATACAAACGAGTTTGTAATTGATCATGAGCGATGACAAGGATCGTTGTTTCAATGAATTATAATGGCTTATTAAGTCTTCCTAATGGCCGCTATAATCGGTGGGAAATTCGTATTGATGCGGAATTTTGATCTCTTGCGGAACAATATACATAGAGAGTGTAATAGGAAATGTTTTTAATTAGTGATAATTACACTTCTGATATCTGGATCTGAAAGCTGGAAAATAATAGTATTCAATAATTCTGATTGCAATAAATTTCGTCAAACATACAGTTATATTAAATTTTGAATAACTTTGTGCTAAAATATGACATCGATATTTAATCAACGGGCTGCATTTCCCATTATTCCCATAAAGGACGTAAATCTCGTGAATCGCACGACGTGCGGCAAATTTCAAAAGCACGTCACTGTAATAAACACTTTTTTAGCATAAAACGAAATGCTGCCCGATTATACCTAGCTGCGTTCGCGAGAAAAGCTGCTTTGTTTGAAGGAGACCTCGAAATAAAATGCGCAAAGAAGAACGAAGCGGTAGGTCGAGATTAAGGTTGCGTCTCACTTCTTTTCTTCTTTTTTTCTTTTTTTTTGCATAGTCGTGCCGACCATCAAGTATGTTGTATGCATAATGGAAACGGCGGAAGAAGAGAGAAAATATACGGCGCTTCCCTCCCTTTTCAGCCGCCATCTGCACGCGTAGAAATATATTTCTAACTATAATGAAAAACTTTCGCTCAAATTTACGTCGGGCTCGCATAATAAGCATTTTCGATGTTTTTTTCAATTATATCGAACTTTATTCAACTATTTAATTGTATATTAACAAATTTTCAATTAAAGAACCGACTAAAATTTATTAATACGATCTCTCTCATTCGATATTATTTTCAAAAGTTAACAATATTATTTATATTTAAAATTCAATTTATTGTATTCAAAGATATAATATTAATATCGAATAAAATTGCAGATATGTAATTAAAGCTTTTACGTAATTATGAGACTATGATATTAAATTCTTAATTATTGACTATTTTCAATATATTCCATTAATTTATATTTGATTTTTGCGTTAGAGTGCAATTTAGGTGATATATTAGTATCTTGAAACGAGGAAAATCCGTTATGCAGTTTGTAAATAAAAGAAAAGAGATATCGTGCGCTCAGATATACATTTTATATGAAAATAAGTTGCGACATTTCGATGTTTTTATCAGATCACATTATCATTTGATATTATGTGTAACAAATACGTATCATATAAAATTAGGTGAGCACGGCCACGCTTTTCACACAAATTGCGGAGGAAACCATTCGTCGGTAAAACGCCCGATCATGAAAAACGGTTCGGCAAAAAAAATCACTACAAACCGCGGTGTGTATCCGTATAACACACTGACCTCAAACCATTTCGCGTCTCTGGCCATCCCCAACAATACATCGATTTAACCTCTGGCGTACAAACACACACATATTTACGCGCGCACATGTGGCGGAATACCGCGTGTTTCCTCGCTCTTTCTCTCTCATCAATCTCCCTCAAATCAGTATGTCGTGATGTCATGCGTTTTAACCTTATCGACAATTCGATGCCCGGCTGAACATTCAGATTTTAACGCTTTTTACGGAACCGTGCTGCGACGGACAGCAGCCAAATGAGTATTGATTTTACCTTTGGTCAACATTGCTATGTAACTACAATCAAAACATATTTACTATAAATAAGGCTTCTGCTAATAACGTTGTTTGATAACTGATTTTATGCACCATTATCACGATGACTTTATGGGATAATTGTTGCTTGTATATACATGATATGATTATTAATTACAATATAATTGATAGAAGAAGTCCTTTTAGCATTATGCGTGTTCCAATGTTATAATTGTCATACTATTGGTAATATGTAATTAACATATTCGAGTTAATAATTTTAGTATTTTTGGAGCAAAATTATGAAATGTAAAAAGAATTTGAGTTGTCACTTCGCAACTTGCTGAGAAATCCCACATCGTATGGATACTGGAATCGAATCGGCTATTAAATCAATGTTATGTAACATTAATTAGCCAACAGTTTCGATAGGATCGTACCAGGTAATTAATACGCTAACCAGATTGCATTTGAATCACGTACACGTTTCACCTTTCCCTACGATACGAATTAATTTGGCAAGCGGAATGAAAAACCATCGCGCGCATATGTGTGCGTTGGCTCATCGCGTAGATCAAAAGGCTCGTATGTACCCATTTGTATGTGTAAAGTTTTACGCATATTATAAATAAATTATAAAAGCTGCTAAACAGAATATATATATTAACAAACATTTTGATTTGCCGTCAATGTTTAAGCATATCATTAATTAATAATCAAATCAGTTTAATCTCTTTAAATAAACAATGTTCTAATTTACGTTAATTTTTGGAAAATAACATCATCTAATTTTCTCTTTATTTTTGCATTAAACAGAAAAAAGTTATACATAAATTATGAAAAAAAGTTTTTAGCTTTTCAAATATTTTTGCATTAATTACACAATAATAATAATAATAATAAAATCATTATGTTTTAATAATAATAATAATAATAAATATAATTTTATATCATAGTTTTCAGATTAAAACATTTTTGATGATTTATGTATGTTGATGCTAAATGACTTTATCGCAGTAGTAGCGGTATGAAATATGTCAGCCGCTCACGGATTAAACGTATTCGACGCGCTCCATCGAGGTATGTAATTTCGATCATGCGACGTCAAAAATTGATTCGCCCGTTACCATTCCTAATGTTATTTCCAACAACATCGTTTCCCCCATCTTCCTTAATCAAATTTCGACACTTGGAATTTATAATTCTCACCACAGATTCGATTTTGAATCCCATTAAGGCTCTCTTAGGGACTACGTCTTGCGCATTCGTTCGTTCATATATCCGTTCGGAAGGCGTACATTTGTGTGCGTACGCACGTCGAGTGTATTGATTACGGGCATTAGCCGAGCGAGACTTTCAGCGCAAATTGAAAAATTCGCCTCAAAGCACCTATATATTCCGTACCGGTGTCAGTTCGATCGCGAGTCGGGATTTACCCTCGTTAACGAGAAGATGCATTCTGTCGGTGCAGATTTTAGAGAGCGTAACCAGTGCGAATAGATCAGTAGCTCTGCTATATTTTGATTAAGCTTAAAATGATTTTTATGATCCAAATAATAAAAGCCGTGGGACCGAAACAGCTTAATACTGCTTTATCACAATTACCTTGTTAATTCCGTTACGCAATATTGTGAGATTTATTGTAATCTATCTGCTTTATAAACTTTCACTTTAAACGTATTTGATGCGAAATATACATATGAGCCCATTACTAAATTTTTCCAATTTTACATACATAAATTTTGGTATGTTGAAATTCTTTTATCAAATAACACGAACAATGAATTCCATTTATAACAAAGACAATCTATTGTTCATCCCGAAGCTTTTGTCTCTTCTATTTGCTTTCATTTCATAAAAACAGAGCCGTTTGAAGTTTGTTCAAGGAACGATTGGCCGAAATATGGCCGAATGGGCACTCGGTGACCCATTCGACTCATGGCCTTGCTCTCGGAAAACTGCCGCAACGAGAATAGCTGCACCACGTCGCTGTTTCCTCTTGCAGCGCCCGCGGATAAACTTTGCGGATATTGTTCATACATTGTTATTATGAATTATAAAGTCCTATAGTTGTGTGGGCATCCGACTTATAAAATATCAAACTGCGTAATTTTTTCAGTTTGTTATATTTTTTTAATATCTTTGCGATTTTATGTATGACTATCGTTGTATCTGCCGCGAATGCAAATA